GGGCCCGGCCCGGGCAGCTGTCACAACCCTAAACCCCGCCCTAACGAGCGTCCCCCTCGCCTACCCGCCCTGGACTGCCCGCCTCAAGCCCTCCCACTGTGTCTTTGCCCTCCCTGAGGTGTTTTCTTCCTCTCCGGTATAACCACAACCGGTAAAAAGGTCTCAAGCACAGCGCGAAGGAAGCAGGTGAGCAGCATCGAAACGGTGGGGAGAGGCTGTGAACGTCGTTCGGGTTTGTTTGGCGGCGCTGGGGAAGTGATTTGTGAGGGGGGAAGTACCCGTCCCGCTTCATCAAAGCTGGTGTTTAAAGTCTTTCAACTGCGAAACAAGGCTCCCAGAAAGAAAATGGCCACAATGGCAGTTTAACAGGTGAATCTCGGTGGTTTGAAGCTCTGCGGTGAAGTTTATGTGGATGTGAGGTGGTGATGGCGTAGGTAAATGCTCCCTGATCTGAGCCCGAAGCAGCCCGAGAGCCCGCATCCTCTCCCCGCTGCGCCTGTTTTGAGCCCTCCGTCCCCTTCGCACTGTGAATTCACTCCTCACTTCGCTTGTGCTCGCGTTCAGGGACGCGAAGGTCCCGTGAGGGTGATTTTTAACTCGCTGTTGGGAACACTTCCTTGGTTTTCACAACATAATGACGACTGCGGCGAGGTTTGATAAATAACACAGCAGCGATGCCGTTTCTGCCTGTGTTGTGTCAAGTTGCTGATGGCCTGTGCGTGGCTTTTTCTGCAGAGATGGTTCGTAATTCATCCCGCCATGGTGTTGATGCGGACTGGTTGACAAGTTGCTCTTTGCGGGTTTCCCCTGTCTCCGCTTGCGGCTTGGTGGTGAGCTGATGCCCGGCATTGTGCTTTTAGGTGCTTTTGAAGTGGTTTTTCAGTTCTTTGGGCATAAAAATGAGGTGAGAAACCGGGTCATGATTAAAAACACCCTAAGTATGTGTTGAATCATCCTGGTTTCTCTCTAGGGACAACTGAGGGAGTCCAGATAAACAACTCAGGAGAGTTTAGGCAGCTAAAAGCTATTTCTGAGAAAGATTTTGTTGGATTTGTGGTGTTAACGGGCTGCCAAAGGGCTGGGATCTTCCCTTCACCTTGCAGAACTCTTAATAGATTAAAACCACCGGATGTCTTGCAGCTTTAGAGAAATTTTGTCATGTATTTTTACCATTATGTGGTATAAAAATGAATGAGGTCTTGCAGTTGTTGCATATTTGGGGTTCTATAAATAAACCTCAGGTGTGACTGGTCCAGCTGAGAAGCAGCCCCTTTATTTTTAATTGTCTGCGTGCTGAGAGTCGCACGGTTCCACACGAGTGGGTTTTTGAGGAGAGCGTCTGTTAGTGTCGAGCCTTACGCAGGAGCATGTGATACATAGGTTTAATTGAAATACTTTGTTATTCCAGCAGAGGACAAACTTTATTTTCCCCATGGAATAAAGTCTGTCGGGAGAACCTTGGACCTCTGCTTTGGGAAGGAATTGGCTCCTGGGCCCCAGCTTTTTTCCTGTGGGTGTTAAGCTTAACTTCTCAGCGCTTCACATAGACTGACAAATCCCTGAACGTTGCTCCGTCGTCTCTGGATTTGCGCTCCGCTTGTACACGTATGTGGAGAAAAATGATTCCCAAGCATTTCCCCGCCGGCAAAGGGAGTGCTGTCTTGGGAATCAGCTGGGAACCAGGACACACGGTACGCTCAGCTCAGTAAAATTCACAGCTTGGTGCCTTCTCAGTTGTTTTTTTCCTGCTCTGCATTTCATTTTGTGTTTATTTTCCCAAGAGAAGGCGGCGATGATTTACTCCACTGAGTTTTTCCCTCCTGGGAATGCTTAAAGACGTGCTGCGCTGCTGCAGAGCTGATGGATACAACCTCTGCTGGCTGGTACCGAGTCATTAATACCCGAGTGTCTCATCTAGTGGGTTTTTTACATAATATTTAGTTTCAGAATGAGACGTTGAACTCTTAATGACCGTGTTCGTAAGTTGTGCCGAAAGCTTGAGGTTTTTGCTCTGAAATCTTGAGGTCTTTGCTTAACCCAGATTTCTTTGTAGCTTGAAAGAATATGATAATCCTGGAAATACCTGTGTGAACATGCTGTGCCCTACGTCTCAGCAAGCCAAACGCCAACATATACACACGGAACGTAAAATCGGGGAGCTTTATCCTGTAGAATCAGGAGGTACAAAGAGATGGGGCTCTCTTTGGCTGAAAAGCGCCGCATTTTGGGCCAAGCAGCCTCTTTTCTCCTCAAGCTTTTGTGCTGAGGCCAGACTGTTTCTGCCTCTTGAGCTGTCCGTACCTGAGGATTAATCAAATACGGCTTAAAAATCAAGAGAGGAGCTTGCTTTTGATCTGACGTCTGCGTGCGGTCGAAAGCGCGACGGCTGCTGCTATTTCTGGTGTCGTCGGGTGAGGAACCGAGCGACCTGCCCAGAGGAAAGGTTCCCTGTGCTGACCTCGCTTTCTGTTCCTGGTTTTTTGTCTGGCTACGAATGTGCCTGGAGGCAGGCGTTGAGCTGGGATGGTGCCTGTGACAACCGGGGGGTCGGTGCCACCTGGCATCGCTCAAAACGATCGCGTGCGCTCAACAGTTTGCTCACAAGAGGCGAGTTAACGTGCTGGAGGAGGGAGTGCTAAAACCGAGCTGTGGGTTTAAACGCCGGCTTCGAGGTGGCCGCAGCCGATGGCTCAGAGGTTGGTCCTTAATTTCTGTGCTCTGACCCAATCGTCCCCGCCGGCAGCTGGAAAACCGCGTCCCAGCACCATCCTGCTCCCGCGGAGAAGTGAAGCGGAAGGGCGAACGGCTCGACCTCAAAATGCCAACGATGGGAAAGGAAATCGGTGGCTAATAAGGCTCCAATTCGAAAAGGCGCTTACGTGTTGCGGTTCCTGTTTTGCTGGTGCAGCAGTTTCCGTGCGAGTTCAAAAATCCGGCGGTAACCGTTCCGTCCACGATTTCTTTAAGTTCTGTGTGTTTTAAGGTGATTGTCCACCAAAAATATAAAGTCGTTAAGAGGGAGAAGTGTCCTCTGCATCCTTAGTGGGTGTTCGACAGGGTTGTGCGCGGAGATGGGGGCAGCAGGAGAAAATTTTTGTAGAAAGAGGTCTCGAAAAGTAGATGTTTTTCAAAATTGCAGGTTGTTGTCAAAAACTTTGGAAAAGGGGAGGTTGCCTCCAAAAAAGAAAAGCTTTGGAAAATTGGGGGCGGGGGGTTGCCTCCAGAAAAGAAAAGGTTTGGA